TCCCAGAAACAACACCGACTGAAGAATTTTCCTTGCTGGGTTATTCAACCATCAGGAACTGCCGAGCAAACCGTCATTGAGGCGGATACCTGGCATATGTAAGACAACATCTGTCGTTTGCCCTTTTGAAACAACCGTTTCTCAATAGAACCCCAGACTCCCTGTGGTTTTCAGTCGTCTTAAAAAGTACGGTTCTAAACATAGGATGTGTTTATGGACCACCCGGTAATGGTTTTTCAAATCCTAAACCAATTCCGGACTCCTTCCATTATATGGCCGACCATCTCCCTGAGGCGAANAACTTCCAGAACATAAACTGAACCTCTCTTACGGCGCCAAGTGCCCTTCATGGCTTCCTATCCAGTAAAAGGATCGGCAAATGGATTTAACACACACACCTCAACGAGAGGTGATCATATTCTGGACTACGTTTTTACCATTGGACTCCCTGAGGTCTCCACTCTGGTCCTGGATCACTTTCCGACTTGTGACTAAGTAGTCTCATGCAAACTTAAGGTCCCATTCCAAGCACATCAAAAACTCATGCACTCCCCACTCTATCATCTCATCAAGTGGACCGACATTCCTATCTTCATCCGCCGACAAGTTTGGGATGCGTTTGTTCTAACTGAAGACCCCCAGCGTGCGGTAGATATCTTTTACATAAACCTTACTCAATGCTTGAAAAAAGCTCTTACACTAGTAAGCCCCCGACAGAGTAAAAACTCACCACCCTGGGTATTGATGCTAAATACCTTAGGCTCCATCAGCTCTACCTGAAAACGCACGACTTCCATATCTTACTCCGCTTACGTAAACTCCCTAAAAATATCCTCACTGCTAAGGAAAATTCCCTTAGAAAACAAGAGCAGCAAGCACTCCAAAGCAGACGAAATACAATACCTAGCGCAAATCTTGTCTACTAGAAATAAACAACCTTCTCCAGAAATAACTTACTGCTTACTACTCGATAACTCCCCCGCTGACTGCCCACACAATATCCGAAGCCTTTAACAGCTTCTCCTCCGCCATGACCTCGGACGAGATCGGCAGCTGCCCCATCGTACTGCCTTTGATAAACACAACACTTTCGATGATTCCTTTTACCATTTTTGACATTCAAAACTTACTTCGCACCCTAAAACCCCCCATTAAGCCCGGTCCTGACGGACTACCCCTCGCTCTGTATTGCTATGGTAGCCCGACTTAGCTGTTATCCTTTTAAGCCTTTTCACTCTCTCACTAAACAACGGTATTTTCCCTTCCAATGGAAATCGTGCGTCATCACCCCCCGCCATAAAGAAGGACCCCTGCAAGCTATTGACAACTACCGTCCAATCAGTCATACACCCATAATAGCCAGAATAATGGAAAAATCGTTAAACGTCATGTTACACAACAGCTGCCGACAAACAGTCTCATTAACGATANCAGCATGGTTTTTCGAAACTTATTTCATGCACAACATGCCAAATTGACTTTTTCAATCTTCTCACGGCATCGATTGATTGTCGCAAGTGAGTCATAGTATTATTTTAAAACATGTTGAAAGCTTTTGCCTGTCTCACGTACGACTTTTGGCGAAAATTCGAGGTGACGGTATCACTGGCTCTCTCCTGGTACGGCTCACTTCATATCACTCTAACCGAACCCAAACAGTTGTGGTTAACGTCTTCCAATCGAGCCCCAGACCCATGCCCAGCGGAATCATCCAAGGTAGTGTCCTTGGCCCTTTACTGTTCCTCATGCATGAAAGTGATGTCTTCTCAGTTATGAAATTCGGCGTCCCTTTCCTATTTGCTGATGATATTAAAATCATCTACACGGCTGAGGCAACTGAGCCTTCCAGCTTAGCTCAGTCGACTTACTCTCCCTTGGATCCTGGAGCGCAAACATGGCGCATGAAATGTTAAGCCAGCAAAAGCGCTGCCCTTACCTACCGATTTGCTTTAGCCCCTGAAGCCCTAAACCTTCGTGGCTGTCCCATTCCCTCTAGCTCTACTGTTAAGGACATGGTCATACAGTACTCCTGTACGTTCAAATTTTCTGGGCAAGCAGCTTTTCCAGTAGCCAAGGCGCGCTGAACATCCGGGATTCGTCATTGGGTCCCTGAAACTTCCTTGAAAGCAGACTCCTATGTTACACCACCCGTGTAAGATCACTCTTAGAGTATTGCCCAATTATCTACTCTAACATGAGCAGAACCTCAAGAAGAGCAATGGAGAGTGTTCAGAGGGCTTCCACAAAGCAGTTCATTGGCTTCTCCTCTCAGCTGTCATACAAAGAATGGTGCGAAAGCCTGGGGGTGGAACCTCTTTGGCTGCGCTGTACGAAGCTCGGCTTCGGCGTCTTTTACAATATTCCCCATAAACTCCTTAGAAGGATCCCGGGTGCCCGACAAGAGGGGGAAGAACTTCAGTCGAATAAACCAAGTAGAAATTATCGGGAAATCGTCATACTTGAACGGGACGGCGGAACCGAAGTCCGTCAGGCTCTATTGGGGTGATTAGGTTGAACCTAATAGACCTCACTGATGAAATTACACCTATCTGGAGACTCAGGAAGGTTGGAACTCCAAAGTCCTGGAGATCTCGTGCGCGCAAAGCAAAGATTAGAAATTAAGAGGCCTGGTAGCGGTACAAGGCCAG